TGTGTGTGTGTGTGTGTGTGTGTGTGTGTGTGTGTGTGTGTGTGTGTTAGACAATCATGTGGCACACCGGGAACCCCTGAGTGGACAAGGCTCCAGAGATCCCAGGTGCTTAAAGCAGCACTGTCCTGCAGGTGAAAACCCAAGCTCTCGGGAACTAGCTGCCTCACCTCTCCTAGCCTCGGCTTTCTAATCTGTGAAATAGGACTAAAGACATGGGGATTATGGTGCCTCTTGATCTGATGAGAGAAGACTGAAGCAGACACACAAGCGTTGCCCTTGTAACAGGCAAATGACACCACAGAGCAGCTGGCTGCCATATACTGGGCACAGATCCAGGGAGCTCCAGACCTGCTCTTCATTAACCCTTTAGAAACCCCCGTGAGGGAGCTAATATTATCACTCTCATTTTGTAGATAAGAAACAGAAGCACAGAGAGGTTAATAATTCACTTGAAGTCACACAGGTAGAGAGTAGTTGGGCTTAAAAATGACATGCCATTCAGTAAACTGTGGTTTGTGTTTGTTTGTTTGTTTGTTTGTTTTTAAATGCATCACTGGTTTGCTGCTTCAAATATTAAAGGTAACCTATGAGAGTGACATGACATTAGCCCAGTGTGGTAGGGCTTGCCTGCAGCTCCAGGACTCATGAGGGAGAATCAGGGGGATTGCAAATTCACAGTGTTAACCTAGATAGATCTCATAATGAGTCTCTGTCTTAGAAAACAAAAAGGTCTTTGTAGTTGGTGTGAGCTATCTGCGTACATGTGTTCGTGAGTATAGATGGGCCTACTAGTGCATATGAATGCATGTTAGAGAGTAACCATAGGTGTCATCCTCAATTGCTCTCCACCTTTATTTTTGAGCGAGCTCTCTTGTTGAACATGGAGCTCGCTGATTTGCCTCGGCAGGCTGGCCAATGAGCTGCCAGGACTCTCTGGTCTCCACTGAGAACTTCACCCCAACGTGCTACCACGACTGCTTTTTAAATGAGAGCTGGGGATCCAAATGCAAGCCCTCCCACTTGCATGCCGAGCACCTTGCCCACCGAGACATCTCCCCAGCCCCGGTGTGATTTTTCATTAATACAAATTTCACCTGGTTTTACCACTAACTTCAACACACATAAACTGTAGTCCCCTCCACTGAGAGCCGGGCTAGAGAGGGACGCCGAGTACAGAAAGGATGTGAGAGGATTCCTTTGGCTTCACCATCCTTTCTAACTGTTGCCAATACTAGGTGCCTGGTCTTGAACAGCCATGACAATGGAGGTGCTTCCCAAGGCCCTGGAGGTAGACGAGGCGTCCCCGGAGTCCAAGGACCTGCTGCCCAGCCAGACGGCCAGCTCCCTGTGCATCAGCTCCAGAAGTGAATCTGTCTGGACCACCACCCCCAGGAGCAACTGGGAAATCTACCACAAGCCCATCATCATCATGTCAGTGGGCGCTGCCATTCTGCTCTTTGGCGTGGCCATCACCTGTGTGGCCTACATCTTGGAAGAGAAGCATAAGGTTGTGCCAGTCCTCAAGATGATAGGGCCTGCCTTCCTGTCCTTGGGACTCATGATGCTGGTGTGTGGGCTGGTGTGGGTGCCCATCATCAAAAAGAAGCAGAAGCATAGGCAGAAGTCTAACTTCTTCCAAAGCCTCAAGTTCTTCCTCCTGAACCGCTGAGGGCAGGTTGACTGGAAGATCTGCTGACCAACATCCAGCCTCCTACCTTCTCTGTGGCTATCAAAAAGCTGATCCAGGCAAACCCTCCTCTTGGCCCTGTGGGCAGGACAGAGCTCAGGGCTTTACCCTCACACAACCTAGCAGCGTGGCTGTCTGAGTCTCACCTGGTTTCTCCACCGCTGTTGATGCTCCCTTGGATACTCTCATTACTCTCATCCCTGGCACATGCATTCGGTCACCATTCATCCCACACTCTCTGCCAAGGGAAATGCATGCTGGGAAATTCTTTGGGGGTTGACTATGCTCCCGAGGAGAACTTCATATTATAATTGTGTGCCTGATATTGGATTCACATCTGCATCCTCCTAGAACCAAAATTGATCAAGGAGGGAAGGATGACTTCATACCCACTGGGTTTGATAGTTTTGGCTCCCTCCTTGGGTGGGAAATTGACTTGCAGGACAATTCTCATGTATTACACATTCCAAAATCTGTACAGTGATTAGGGCTGAGGGGGGTAGGGGGGTAGACACTGTCCAGGGCAAATCATTCCTCTGGGCATAACTCTGGAATGTGGCCAAATATATGGTATTGACACCAGAGGCAATCGACAGGTACCACAGCTTCCCCTTGACGCTCCAGTGCCCTTCCCTCAGACTGCCTTCACCTTGGCAATTAGCCAAGAACAAATACTCATTGCTCTAACTCCATTCCCCCACCCCATCTCTGTACCTCCAGAGAAGAAGGAAGGGAGGTCACAGATGGGACTAAAAGGACATCTCTCCTTCCTCCCAATCAAGACCTAACCTGAGATAGGTTAGGTCTTGATTATCTGAATGCTCCATGGGTTTGTAGACATAGGTTCACTGAAGAAGATCCCAGCCTCCATCATCCCTGCTCCTCCCCACCAAACTAGCCAGTATTCATTTTCTCTGGGCCTAGATTGGGAACAGCCAGACCCAGTCTCTGATGTCAGCTTGTTTCCAAAAGTAAAAGAGAGAGAAACATAGCCAAGCCAATTGGCAATACCCCGTGCTGAGTTCTTAGGGTGGCCATGGGGACACATGGGTCTAACATAAATTTACAGGAAGACAGAGAGGTTTCTGAACAGCATGTTCATCCCTCCTAAAGACAAAGGGGGAAATAAGTGTTTGGAAAGGGCAAGGTATGCAAAGAGGCAGCAACTGCCTTGCATGTCAAGAAGCTGGAAAAAAGGAGTTAGGATTCTGCATTGCCCCCTGATGCTATTTCACCTTCTCTTGTCTACTTTCTCCTGCTTCCCCAAGTGCCTTACATCCAGCTTCTCCTTGGTATGCTGCAGGTTCCTGGGGGTCTGTAGAGACTGGGAGAGGCATCTCTAGAGGGCCCAACAAGTAGATATAACCCAAGGGGTAAGTGCCTCAAAACTTCTAATAGACACCAAGAGGCCTTTCGGTGAAAGGCCAGGTGCCCATAACCAATTTCCCAAGCAGTGCGAAGCCAGGCCAGAGAACAGAGGAAAGCCCCTGATAAGAGGGTAAGGGACAAGAGCTGCATTAGCTCCAGTTGGCTCTTTTTACCCTTCAACCTTTAGGCATTTGGGAACACCATGGCAACCTCCCTCCATCAGGTCTTCAGACGTCTCGGTCCTTCACAGTACTTTCATAGGCAGTCAGAATTCATCCCTGTTCCTGTTGCACTGTGGAAAATCCCATGGAAGCAGTATTGCTTCCTCACCCCCTACACTACACTGACACCCTAAATAGAGAGTCAGAGTTTGGGGAGCCCCTGGCCTCTCAAAGCTCACTTAAGATGGTCATGTCCTTCATTAAGACTCATACCAGTGAGCCCTCACCCTCCAGTCCACTCGTCTCCTGCACACAGTCAGGTCAGGACCAGCCCTGGGGGTGTTGAACTGCTTGCTGCCACTAGTGCTACTGTGCCAGTGCTTCCATGGTAGGGCTTAGGGGCCTGTGATGAAGCCACTCGCTCCTTGGTGCCTTCCTGAAAGGGAATACACAGATGAGCTTACAGCCAGCTCGCTTGGAATCTGCACCCCAAACCCCTCATTATCCCAAGAGCTCATTGTCTGGGCAGAGCTGTGGAAGGAGGTCATTGCAGACAGCACCGTCATGTGTGTCTGAGTGGAAGGGAGTTTGGGGGTAATCATGATGCCCAGAAATCTTTAAGTTCTAGACATCTTTGACAGCCACATCAGTACCTACTCCCATCTCCTGCCTCTCACAATAAGTCCTTAGCAAATGGAAACAAAGAAGAGGCTTTGAGAAAAGATCCCAAATACTAGTTACCCAACCCCACCTCCCCTCCCTGCACAGGGCTCCCCACACAAACGAGGCTCAGGAAATGGGCAGAGTCACCCCCAAAGCAGCACATCTTGGAGCCTTTTGCCAAAGACATTGCCTCATGAAAGCCTGAGGTGGGAGCAGTCACAGAGTGCAGCTGGGTTGGACGCCACCTTTCTGCAACAAAGCATTCTGGGTAATGACCTGGTCTTCTTAGAAGACAGGGGCCGCATCCACAGCACCATCTCATCAGACTGTATGTGTTTCCTGCTCCTCCTGTCGCTCTTCTGTTTTGGAGAATTTAATCTAGTCCAGAGCCTAAAGGAATCAAGTCATGTTCAATTGTATTCTATTGAACAGTGTCTGCTGTGTTCATTTTGTTCTACCAGGCATTCCAAGACTGTTCCCACAAACCCCCATCCCCTAAAATGTTTCCCGAATTGCCACATTTCCTCTACCAAGAAGGCTGCCCAGGAAAAAGACAGAACGGGTTTCATGTATGGCTCCTCAGGTGCCTCTTTGCAACTGGTAGCTCTACTCGAGACCATGGTGGTACAGAGAGATCCCACAAGGCCACTATTGAGACTGAAAGTTTAACCTGAAGAAATAACATTCCAGAATGAATTTGTGGTCTAGATGAAGCAGGCAGACACCGGGTCCTGAGGAGATGCTCCAAACACAAGTAGAAGATGGTCTTTGGGGGCTTACTTTCATCTCCCACCCCACAAGCCTATCTGTGCTCAGTCTGTCTGAGGACAGCAATTCGTGCCTGAGACTTCCTCGGAGACTGCTGGCCCATGCAGGAGTTGTCACTCTGTAACCAAGTTCTTTAGGGTCTCCAGCAAGGGAGTTGGTGTCTGGGGGAGCCTGCAGATATAGATGAGAGGACCCCCAGATGACCCCCAGTTCAGGTTCACTAAAGGGTACCTAAGAATGAAACTATCTCTCACTGTCCTGCTGGTTCCTCTGGAAAAGCCACCAAAGTGACTGCCAAAAAGAGGGGAGAGTCATTGTCAATGTCCTTTGATCAATCACACATACTAAGTCAGGACTGTCTTCAATAAATGACAAAATGCCGGTGGGAACTGTGTGTTCTTTTCCCGGGCTACAAGGAAAACATATTTCTAGTTGCAGCTGCAACACTGACTCCTCAGGCTCTGCCTCCCCCCCTTTCTCTGTTGTCCTTTTTGTACATCACCTCTAACTGACATTTCAATTATCCAATTACCCAAGCCCACAGCAGACATCAGAACCTGCATGCAAAATGAAGACACAGGCTCTGACCTCAGAACACAATCAGGATAATACCCAGAGGAGACAATGGGAGCTTCAGGATGATAGAGTATGCTCCCAGTGGGGGGATTAGGATACTCAGAGCATGGTACCCAAGCCAGCTTGACCCCACCTGCCTCTCCGGGGCCTCCGAAATACAGATATGCTGGGTTTTCACATCAGACTTGGGGGAGGAAGCCCAGGCAGAAGAAAAGATGGCTGCTCACTGGCTAGTAGAAGATAACCCCCACCTTGACCTCTGCTCCTACCCTATTTTTCAGATTTTCTCTGATACCCATCCAGCCCAGCCTTCACACTGTGTCAGAGGTGCATGTCTAGGGATCGTGCTTGGGGCTGGGGGATCAAGGGCTTCCCACACTTCTCCTACTTTAACTACACTGTTCAGAGATCTGAACTTCAACACACCAGCATTGTGGTTTTGCCCTTTTCTGGAACTTTTCCTTCCCCAAACCCTATCTTTTCCTTGTTCTAGGGCTAGAGAGATGTCACACTGGCTGCTCTTCAAAAGGAACCCACTTCAATCTCCAGTACCCACGCGGTGGCTCCCAAACATCTGTAACTTTAGTTCCAGGGAATCCAGTGCCCTCTTCTGGCCTCTGTGGGCACTGTGCATGGCATATATGCAAGCAGAACACCCATACACATAAGATAAAAATAAAGAAACCCTAAGGAAAAAAGTTAAACTTCTTTCTGAATGACTTAATATGGCAAGGGCTTTATTGTGACTCTGTGGAAGGCTGACTCCCCCAAACCATCCCCAGGCATCCAAATCCTAGTAGACTGTTAGCTTCCCACTGTGACTGTTAAAATGTATTATCTTACAGGGCTAGAGGCCAACATCAGAGGGCTAATGGAACACATGGTCAGGACTGCTACTCCTTCTGAAGGGTCCAGGTCCAGGGTCCTGCTTTATGTACCTTGTACCAGCTGTCTGTGTTTCCATTTGTAGACTCCCTCTATCTACAGAAAGAAAAAATTGAAGGGTGTGGCCTCTTGTGCAATCACATCTACTCTGATCCTGTTGTTTTCTCTCTTCTTTATAAAGGCCTTTGTTCTGGGCCTCTTCTGTTGAGACCTTATGTCGAATACACAGGGAACGCTCAGGAAAGCTCTTTGTCCTAGTTGGCTAACACTTCTGTGACAAAATGCCGCAGGGCAGATGGCTTAGACAACAGACATCTGTTCTAGTGTCTGTGGAAGCTGGTGGAGGTCAAGGGACCAGAGCTGGTTTCCTTTGAGGCCAGTGCCCCTGGCTGGCAGATTCCATGTCCTCTTTGTTTCCTCAGTGGTCCTGCATCCATAGAGGTATGTATCCTAATCTAATAGGACTACCAGCCATGTTTGACTGGCACTACCCAAGGACCATCAGCCATGCTTGACCAGGGCTACCCACATGCCTTCCTTCAACTTGATTACCTCTGTAAAGACCTTGTCTCAAAATACAACCACTTCCTAGGAGCCTGAAGACAGAGGCTTGCTTCATTGTGTGCACTGGGCAAAATGCAGTGCAACCTCTAATACTTTCAGTCATATCAGCAAAGTCCCCTTCTCCCTGTAAGAAAAAATACACCCAAGCTCCAGGGATTCCAATTAGACATCTTTTTTTTTTTGGGGGGGGGGGGGGGGGCTCTGTCATTCTGCCTATCATAGAAAACTTCACCTGGGGGTCAGAAAGATGTCTCAGTGGTTAAGAGTGCTTACTGGCTTTCTGCTTTTCCCAAGGACCTAAGTTCCTCTCCCAGAACCCACATGGAGTAGAGAGCAGTCACAACTAACTGAAACTCCAGCTCCAAAGACTCTTGAAATCTCTTCTGGCTTCCTTGGGCACCTATACACAAGAGGCATATATCCACACAGACACACACATGTGCACATGAGTAAAAATAAAAATACATCATTTAAAAAAATGACAGAAAGAAAATTGCACAGAACACGTCCAGTAGCTTCCACTCTTTAACTCATGCCTCCTCCCTTCTGTGTCTTTCTCTCCAAGAAATGACATAACTATTTGGCACCATTCAGCCCAGTTGCCAGCTGGAGCATAGGAGGAAATGTCAGAGAGTCCAACTGGCCTATATGCTATATTTCTTGCCAATGTTTTTGTTCCAAAACCTCTATTTTATCATATGTAGCAGTATAACCAGGTAAACGTGATTTTTTTTTTTCCTAGCAGACACTCACTGGCCTCCCTGATAAGAACTGACTGGGAATTTGCCTGTGGACAATGACTTAGGAGCCACCAAAGAACATGGCCAGAAGCTCTTGCCTCTGTTTGAGATTCAGCTCTGAAGGTTAGGGCTGCAGCTGCCATTTCAGGACCACTAAGTGACCCTGAGAATCGGAGCTGTTACCAAGTATATAACACAATAGAAAGTGGAAAGAGGGAGGGTGTCTGTGACCTTGGTACTTTCCAGGGAGCTACTGGGTGACTCCCCTGGCTTCTCTTACAAATGATAATAAAATAAGAGTCCATGACTTCTTATGGGATCCAAATACAATTTGATTACCTTGAACTCTAAGATACACTTTATAGTCATTGTTCATAAGTTCTGCACCTATGGATTCAACCAGCAGAGGACCGAAAACAAATCAGAAAAGCGTCCATAATGGACACGTGCACACTTTTTACTGTCCTTACTCTGTCTGTCAGAAAGCACAATATTCACGCAGCATTTACCTTGAACTTCACATTAGCAGCCATCGGCATATTACTCAAACAGAAGGATTACATAGTCTGTATGCAAACATGGCGGCATTCTATGTGAGGGTCTTTGTCTTTTCCCCTTCCTTCCTTCCTTCCTTCCTTCCTTCCTTCCTTCCTTCCTTCCTTCCTTCCTTCCTTCCTTCCTCCCTTCCTTCTTTACCTTAAAAAATGTTCTCCTAATCTCTCAGGAAGGACAGAAGGGAGGGTAAGTAGCAAAGCGTCCCATCTATGATCACTCCCCCACTCCTCTTTCTAAGGCAACAGGATCTTTTCCAGACCTGACACCCAGATTGGGGAGTGTAGGGCCACACAGGGGCCTAGATTAACATGTGGTCCCTCAGGCTGCTCCACCTACTCTAACAAGGCCACGCCTCCTAATAGTGCCACTGTTTTTGGGCCAAGCATTTAAACACATAAGTCTTTGGGGGGGGGGGGTTCCTACTCAAATCACCACAGGAAGGATGGAAAAGGAGTAAATGATGGAGCCTGGCTTGATGTCATTGTCACTGTTCATGGGAGCCATGCAGTCTCTTTCTGACACCTACAGTTTCCTATCCATCTCCTCCTTCTGACTTGTTCTCTTATAATCCATGTTACATGCACCAGGGTAATTTTTTTCCCCAATTTTACATATAAATGCAAGGAAGTATGTCACTGAGTGGGGGCTGGGCTTTTGGGGTGTCAGATGCTCAAACCAGACCCAGTGTCTTTCTCTTCCTGTTCCCTGCTGATCCGATGTAGAATTCTCTGCTACCTTTCTAACACCACGTCGACCTGTTCTGGCATGCTTCCCACCGTGACAATAATTTCACCCTCTGAAATTGTAAGCCAGCCCCAATTCAATGTTTCTTTTTTCTTTTTTAAAGCTGCTGTGGTTATGGTGTCTCTTCAGAATAGGACACTGACTAAGATGCCCACCAAACTTCTTTTGGATCCTCACTCAGTGCTCAGCACTCCTGCTCTATTCCATTCCTGCCCTTGTTCAGGCTACTCTGTCTGCCAGCAACAGTCGCTTCTGACAGGGCTCATCTAGCTCCTCCCCACCAGCCCTTCTCCTTTCTCCTTGTTGTTCTTTCCCCCTCCCAACCTCCCATGCTCATCACTATTACCTAACCCCTTACTTGGTGATACACAGTTATTTTCAATGGGAAAATGGGAAGCTTTGGTGTTAAACAGATGTGGATTCAAAACCTGACTCGTTAGCAGCAACATCACACGACTTCCTGTCTCAGGTCTCAAGTCATGTATGAGAACAGCAATTACCCAAGAATTAAAGGAACAAACAAACAAATAAATAATTAAATTGTATGGGAAGAATAGATTCAGATAGTGTCACCAGGGCCCTGGTTAGAAGGTCTGTGGTCCCCTCCCCCAACAAGTGCAGAAATCTAATTTCCAAGATGATTGCATCGGGAGGCAGAGAGTTGGAACAGTAATTGGTTTACAAGAGCGGACCTCTCCAGAATAAGATTACTTACCTCAAACAGGGACTCCAGAAAATCTCTCTCTCTCTCTCCCTCTCTCTCTGCCAATGGAGATTACAAGAACTCAGGCAGCTACTCGCTGGAAGAGGCCTCTCACGACCGCTTGCCATGCAGACCTCCACCCCTGTCTTCCAGCCTTTGACTTATGAGAAGTGACTTTCTGTTGTTTGACTCAGCTTGACACGCTCTGGTTGTGGCCAGATGCTCCAAGGCAGTAGATGGTCAGTAAAATGAAGGCACGGTGTTCGCTCTGTCCCAGAAGACCCACACTATGACCATAACACAAAGGTTCTCAAATCTTCTGGAATACAATCTAGATGGAAAGTGTGAAGCCATAGATAGATTCACCCAGGTGGGAGCCTGGACAGAGAAATGCAACAGCTTGGCACCCGAGTACAGTATCCTACCCCTGTGCTAGTGATTATTAGAGGAACTCTTCAGCCGTGGGCTGCTTTGCATGTGTACATTTACACTTGAAGTTTGGCTCAGAATCCACATGACAACCCCAGGCATGTCATTCTGGGAAGACTCCATGGGCCCTCCTTCACAGGGAAAAGAGAAGAAGAGAGAACCCCATTGAATGTGCCTGCAGGAGA